ATCACATATCGATCCTATTCAGGTCGTTAAACCTTCTCTAATATCAGTCTTTTAACGTTGGGGGTCATTCACCAAATGGGTTCCCTCCTTCCTTCTTCTTTTTTTTTTTTTTTTTTTTTTTTTTTTTTTTTACTGAAAACCTCACGGGAAAAAATGTATCCTCTCTTTCTCTACCTTCTCAAACATCGTTCAACTCATTTAAATTTTATATCATTCGAGAGAACACCCGCAATTTCTAGAAGTGGATATATGTATTCGCTCAAGATTCAATAATACGGGATATGAATTAATTTTGATTGTACAATAAAAAGGTTTCTACCTTTCAAAAATTAATGTTTATTAATTATTATTTTTTTTTTACCAAAAAAATAATTTTCTAGATTTAAAAACATAAATTTAAAATATATTATTTATAACATATTAAATTAAATAATAATTAATTAAATATTATATTCATATTATTATATTAAAATTAATTATTATTTATTTGTAATTATTATTATTACTATTATTATTATTTTAATTTTTAATATTAGTTATAATTAATAATATTTATTTCTAAGATAAAAGATTTTTTTTTGGCAAAAAGAAAAATATTTTTCAGTAGAAAAATAATTATTTGTAAAAAAAATATATCTCTAACCTTAATTTGCCAAAGTCGCATATTTTTGGAATGAGAAGATCATCAGGAAAAACACACTCGCGATTTAAAAAAAATTTCATACACTCCCGAAACTGAATTTAAATAATTAAAAAAATAAAATACTTTTTCTATAAAGATTTAAGAGATCGCGATTTTTAAAATTTCGAACACTCCCGGAACAAAAAAAAAACTTACTAAAATGACAAAACTATTTAAAAAAAAAATTTTGTTCGCGAATTAAACGATTCGAGCATTCCCGAAGTTATTGATTATTTAAATATTAAAAAAAATATATTTTTTACTTCTAAATTATAAAATTTACATTCACGTTAACCACGTGGCTAAACAGGTCAAGACACGAATTGCAACTGATTTAATTATCTTTTCGATTTTCCAAACACATTGTTTATGACCTTCGGCCTAGGGCGCTCTTTGTATATATACTTCAATGTAAACACAAAGCTCGGAAAAGTAGGTATAGGGGTAATTGGAAAATCGCTCTAACATTAACTATTAAAATTCTACGAAATTAGAAATATTAAATTAAATTTTCATATTATTTTTATTTATTTAAATTATATATATATTTTTTTTAAATATTCAATTTATATAAAGAATTAATTGACCTTTTTACACGTAATTGTTCATAATCTTTTTGTAAAAATAAAACTATTAAAAATTTGTATCGTTTGTAAGTGTATTCATCGAATTTTTCGAAAACGATGAAATAATAATGATAAATGATCATCGTTAGAATTGTTTGAGGACAAATTTCATTATACCATGAGAGTGACTAAATGAGAAATCAGCTTTCCCCAAAAATCGCTCCTTCAATTTTTGTATCACTTTCTCTAAATATGGAGGTACATGAAGACAATCTCCTTTCTTTTTTTTATCTTTTCTAAACCACGAAATAAAATCCCAAAAACAATTTTAGAAAGTCAATCAAAATGCAAAAAAAAACTAAAATTTTTAAATTCTAATATGTAACAAATTGTATAAATAAAATAGGTCTATAAAAACAGTACTCTCTAAATCTGAATTAGTATAAAATGTTTACTAATTTTAATTAGTGACTCACTTTTTGCTTCTGGGCCGGGATTACGACTAGCAATGCTGCTAAGTCAGCAAATATAACTTAACAAAATTTCATGACATTTGTAGGAAATTTATCTCAAAATCACATTTTATTGCTATTTGGTAAAAAAAAATTAAGTACAAGCTTATACAATAGAAATTAAAATCAAGTTAACCTAAAAAACGAGCAAATTGACACCAAATTTTTGTCAAATTGCTCGGATTGATAGCAGTGAGCATGAAAACAATTAAAAGATTTCATGCAACATAGCCATTTTAATTGCTTAATCATATATACAGGGTAGCAAGAAAAATGTTAATCATTTATAAAATATTAATTATTATAAGTACAATAAAATAGAGGATTAAATAATAAATAATTAAATGAAAACGTAAAAGAATCAAAATGAAATAATTATACAATTAAATATATTAAACCATAATAAAAAATAAATTATAACTAATGAAATGTTTCTCGAAAATATTATGATTATTTATTAAATAAAAATAATTATATTAATACTATCATATTAACAATATTTATGAAATGAAATGTTTAAAGTCTTTTTTTTGAATTAATATGAAATCAAATGTTTCTATTCTTATCAATTAATATAGTTTTTAAGTGTGTATTTTTCTGTAAATAATTTATAGATTAACCTAAATCTGTCAAATGATTAGAATTTTATCGAACACCCGTTAGCAATATTTTTTTCCAGCGTGAATATAATTGACATTGCCAACTAGCAGTTTGCTAACTTAGCAGTATTGCTTGTTGTAATCTCGGAATTAGTAAAATTTAACTAATTTAGAAGCAAAAAGTGAGTCACTAATTCAAATTAGTAAACATTTTTACTAATTCAGATTTAGAGAGTACGGAAACATTTAATAAGAAACTTCATTGGAACGTGATTTTTTTGTCAATAAGGTAAAAAAGAAAAAGAAAACTGCGCGGACAATTACATTAACATATTAAAAGGAATTATCGAGACATATTAAAAAGTAGACTTGAAATTCTAAATCCTCACCTGAGCTCGCCGCGCGCTTGCTCCGTTTCATTTCATTCCCATTTCTCGTTCGTCCCAATGGAATCGTGAGCACGTTTTCCAATTTTCGCGTCGCTGCGAAATGGAATCTACGTTTCGGTGGGAAAACTAAGTCAGGATAGAGGGTACTAGTACAATGCAAAATGTTCACTATACCATGGTTACTACACACATACCCCCCCCCACTCTTGCATCGTTCAGAGATATCTTGCTTTTTCCTCTTCAAAAAAAAAAAAAAAGGGAAAAAAAAGAACTTCAACTGAATTCAGAACATGACTTGCTTGTCTAATCCGGTCTCTCTCTCTCTCTCTCTCTCTCTCTTTTTTTTTGTACAGAATACGAGTAGAAAAATTCTCTCAAAAAATTTAACAATTCTTGAGAATGGAGAAAAAAATTATTTATCATATTCAATACAGGCTTTTATGTAAATTACATTGTGTTACAAAAAGAGGCGAAAAAAAAGAAATTTTTTCAAGTTGGTTTATCTGCAAGAAAAAAAAACATTTTTTAAATTTCAAATGTTTTTTTAAAGTTAAATGCGTTTGTTCCGACTAAAACTAAACTAAGTAGAAATTTGTAGTTTTCAGTAAATTTTTATAATTGAACAAAAAATAATTTTTACATATTCTATTATTTATTATTAAAATTATTATTTTGATAATTGAATTTTTTAATTCAATATTTTCTAAATCTCTGAAAATTATATTCTTAAAATTGAAAACATTAAAAAATTACTTTTCTTTTTGATAAAAAAAGAAAAAAATATATTTACTACTGTCGATATAAAATAGAAAATATGAATTTAATCATCATCAGAGAAATCGTTACGTTTCATTATTAAATTTTCTATTCACTTAATTAACTCAATTTACATATAATGTTGAATTTAAAGGTTTAATTTTGTGCTTGTAGTGAAATTTTAAAATACATAATATAATTTTTCGATGACATTCACAATATTTGCAGCAAATGTTCTTTCTCTCTCTCTCTCTCTCTCTCTCTCTCTCTCTCTCTCTCTCTCTCTCTCTCTCTATTTAAACCTATTCAACAAATATTCCGCCAAATGCTACACACCAAAAGTTAATTGGATGCAAATATTATTCTCATTCAAGGTTCAACTATATATGTATATCAGCATCGTGGTCCAGATATAATGTTCAAAAACAATGGATCGATTTAGGGTGAATTATCAAGATTAATAATGCACATCAGTGTTCACTGTTATCACAGAAACAATGCAAAAGGAATAATCTTGTTCCATTGTAATAATGTAACTATATAGTTAGGTATATTTAAGAATCAATATTAATGATTGATAGAAAACAAACTTTTGGAAAATTAATTACCCATGATGGTAAATTGATATATAATATCAAAGTATACATAAAAGTATTAATAAATCTCACTTGTTTTAAATTGAGCGGAAAATTTTTATTTTTTAATTTAAAGATTCAAAAATACAGAATTGGATTAATTTTTATTTGCCTCATAATTAAATTATAAAATAGTATTTTTTTTTTCAATAAAATTGAGGGTAATTTTTTTTTACATTCCTTTTGATGAAATAAAATAAAATGAATAAAATAAAATTTGTGATACGGTAGAAAAATGGGATAATTTTTTTTTTTTTTTTACTTTTTACATGAAGTAATATTCAGTTATAATAACAAGATAGAAATATGTGGATGAAAGTGTAAACGGTTTCCTGGGGTATATGTATGACCGAAAGTCGAATGAGCCCACGGACTAACGAAATATTCATCAGGGCAAATGAACCAAGTGATAAAACAAAACCAAGGAGTCTGCATCTGCATATATAGAGTGTATTATTACAGACACACTCGCATTCATTTCCCGGTATTACCATTGCAAATAGAATAAGCAGGAGAGGCATAAATATTAATGAAGGTCTGTTTCCTCTCCAAGGTCTTCAACCTCCACCTTATATAGTATATATACATATATATATAGTGTGTATATAGTGTGTCTGGTTCCTTATATCCAAAGGAGCGAGAGAAAAGGAGAAATCTCTCTTTAACACATTTTGTCCATTTACCGAATGAATCTTCTTTTGTGTCACGTGACACGTCGTGTGAAAGCGCGAAAGGCGAACCAATCATTGAGCAGGCAATTGTTTAAATTTTGTCGAATCACATGTGTGTGTGTCTCTCTTCCAAATCGAAAGTAAAAAAATTCACACACAAGGTCATGTGCATCTCAATCTATATGGGAAGATTGTCTCGTTAATCTCAGTTTCGCAGGAAACGAGGAATTGTCAACTGTCGCGAAGACGTGGAAAAAAAATTTGATAATGCCATTTTTTTCAAGTGCCATTTTTATAAAAAGATTACTAAAATTTTAGTGAAAAAAGAAACTTTGTTTAGTGTCGAAAAAATACAATGAAAATAAAATTACACGTAAGTGAAATTTTTTTTCCTTTTTCGTAATTAAGAAATGTATTGTAATTATAATATATATATATATATATATATATATATATATATATTATATATTATATATTACAATATATTATAATATACATGTGATAGAGAAAAATATGAAACTTGTATTTTGAGATAATGTTACGGAATATATACCCTTGAGATATTTCATAAACATGTTCCTATAGTTGTACACATAATAATGATCTTGTTACACGAGGCATTCAACGCGCAACTATTAGTTTTGAAAAGCAAATTAATTTAGGAGAACAATTTTGATATTATAGTCAAAATCATCTAGTTATTCAAAATTATATAACTTTTTTAAAAAAAAGAAAATAAATACAAATTGTCAAAAAGCTCCTAATCATTGAAAATTATAAATTTTTTTTTTTTTTTGATAATCGAAAGAAAATAAATAAAAAATTACTTTCATCATTAAAAGTGAGACTTTTTTAATCACCTATTGGATTTCTATCAACTTTTATGGTAATGGATCAAATAAAAATTTTTTAATATTTTTGTAACAAATAGTAACAAATTTCTAATATTGTCAAAAAAAAAAAAAAAATATTTAATTTTCTCGATAAAAAAGTTTGTTTGAAATTGAACATGCTATAAATTCTAAAGATAGATTCTGTATATAGATGAGAGAGAGAGAGAGAAATAAGATAGAGAAGCAATGTCTGACGTTGATGCAGCCTGAGGTGAATCGAGTAAACCGTCAATGCATCTAAGTTGACGTCCGATAGATAGGTATAAAAGAAAAGAGAGAAAGAGAGAGAAGAAAACGATTTTTGAGGAAAGATATAGAGGTACCAGAAGCAAGCTAAAGTGCTGAAAAGTTTGAATGTGCATTTTCGGGGTGATGCTCCTACCTGACAACTTCTTGATTTAACTGGACTTATCTCACATATCCAACTCTCTCTCTCTCTCTCTCTCTCTCTCTCTCTCTCTCTCTCTCTCTCTCTCTCTCTCTCTCTCTCTCTCTCTCTCTCTTTGAAACAAGAAAATTTTAACTTTGAAATGGCACGAATTTTCTTGTTTTCCTCTTCTTCTTCCTCCTTTGGATCTTTTCCATCCAGAAGGAGGAGGAGGGAACCATTTTATATTACAAAAATTCTTTAAATTCTAATACGAAAATTTTTATCTGATCCTTAACAAAATTTTTCCCCTGAAAAACAATTTGCAATGTGAAAAATAAAGAAACTAATTTTTTTTTTCTTTTACTAATGAAATTAATTTTTTTTTAGATACATTATTTAATATAAATGAAAATTATATTATTTTTACATTTTTAAATAAATAAATGAAAATCAATAAATTATTATTATTGATTCAAGACAAAAGAAAAGGTTCAATAAAGCTAAAAGCAAGTTGTACAGGATATGAAGAGCGGTAATGAAGTAGTATTGTTACTCGATTAGTAACTGTAATATTCGATGATTAATTGCTAAAGTAATTTCCGCAAAATCCCTCTTTGGATGGAACCATTTCTAGGTTACAAATTTAATGAAATAATTTAACAATAAATTATTTTAATCTAATCACTTAAATAATTTTCTTAATTTCGATTTATTTATTTAAAAAAAAAAACCAGGGGCTTACAATAAGAATAAAAAAATACATTTTAAAAAAATTTATTTGTTTCCAAATAATCGATTGACTATTAACAAATAAATTTTTTTTTCAGTATATTAATTTGTGAATATATAAAAATAATAAAAAAAAAATACTCGGAAACAATTGCCAATAAAGAGTTAAAATTTTCTTTTTTCAACAAAATTTATTCCTGCAATCGAATTATATAAGGGATATTTTAAAAAATAAAATTTTTTTGTTGTCAAATACCGGTAATAACTTTTTGCTGTTTCTGTTAGTTTACATAATGTACATAATATAACGTGCCTCTGCATATTTTCCATAAATCTATAATAGAACAAAACTAGTACAAGCTAATATTGAAAATTGAGGATGACACCTTGCAACACATACGCTTTACACTGAAGACTGAAACACAGTCAGAAGGGTGTAATAATACCAAATTTCCTGAGTAAAGGTGGTTCTCAAGCATACCGACAATGGTCAACAACTGGGATAGTTATTTCCATAGACACGTTCTGCGAACACTGTAAACGAGGCAATGCACGTTCACTGCTCTAAAAGCACGTACATAAACTCCAGCTGTTGCTGTTATATTGATAAAAGTGTTATTCGTATAATAACTAAAAATACACCATTTTAAAAATAATGACAATTTAGAGAAGAAAAAAAAAAAAAATTTTTTATGTACACTTACAGTTCAATAATATTTTCAAAAATAATTTTTTTTTTTTTATTCGAAAGAAAATTTTTTTAAATGAGTATATAAATAGAAAAATATTATTATAATCTAAATTTTTTACAGCAATTAAAATAAGGAACGCTTTGTCTGTCTGATACTGTACTTATAATAAATTTATACTGAAAAAATTTAGTCTAACCGGAAATGATTTTTTCTATTAGTATGTTAAAAAATTAAAAATATTAATCAAATAAAAAATTCAACTAAACAATTTGTCTGACTAAAACTGTATTCCCACTTGAAAAGATTCCCCGGAAATTGCCCCCTGGAGGTTCTATCAGAATTCCGCTGGAACTTCCAACGTAATTCCGTCGGAATTCCATTAGAGTTCCAAAGAATTTCCAATGGGATTCCGAGGGAATTCTGACAGAATTAGGACTCTAAAAATTTTGAAAAAAATTAATCGGAATTCCGTCGGAATCCCATCGGAAATTCTTTGGAACTCCGATGGAATTCCGACGGAATTACGTTGGAAGTTCCGGCGGAATTCTGATAGAACCTCCAGGGAGCACTTTCCGGGGAATATTTCCAAGTGGGTTTTGCTACTGATATGACATGAATTCCAAAAAATTTTGTCTGACCAATACAAGTTTTCTCTTCTGATGTAAAAAATTTACAAGTTACCGGAAAAATTTGTCTGACTAAAATTTTCTTTTTACCACTGATAACAAATTTATATTATTGTCTGTCTAAAACTGTCTATAACTACTCATCTTAACTGTTTAAAAAAAACTGTCTGACTGGTACTGCCCCTTACTACTGATTTGAAATTAACATATAATTTGTCTGACTACATCTTTCTGTTACTACTGAAAAGTAATAAAAAAATTTAAAAATAATTTTTTTCTATAAACCTATTTAATTAAACAAAAGAATAATTTTTTTTTAAACAAATTCATAAACTATTTTATTGGGGGAAAAATTGTTTTTTAGTAAAAAATTTTTTTTTTTTTTTAATTGAAATGAGAAAAATCATTTACTATAAAAAAAAAGAAGTAGAAGAAGAAGTAAAATAACTGAGCGTAACGGCCTTATCTCGAATGCTCAGTGCTAACTGTACCCGTGAGTAAAGCTCTTAAACTGTCATCAAGATTTCGCCTTAAAGCAACTAAAGTGCAAGAGACATGCAGAAATTATACCAACCAGGAGTCTGCTATGGAAAACTATCATAAGCTCATATAACTTATGCTACATGCATACGAAGAGGAAGAAGAGCGACAAACCGGTTATCGCATTATTATTACTATTATTATTATTGTTATTATTATTATTAAGTTGAGAAGACTTGAAATATGATAACTCGACCATTGAAATATAATGGACCAGCAGCGTGGTTTGTTTCTAATTGAGCTTATTTCAATAATATCAAACGTCCATAGCTACTCAGAAAAAAATTCTAATAATAATAATAAATAAAAGTAAAAAAAAATTTTAATCTTGAAATCAGAAAATAGATTTTCATTTTTAATTCTTTTCTATTCTTTTAAACTTTAATTATAATTTCTTCTTCTTTCTTTCTCTCCAAAAACAAAAAAGTAATAGTAGAACAGAAAAATTAATATTGATTGACATATTTCTCTTATTTCCAGATAATTAATAAATGTCACTTTAAATAAATAAATTGTTCCAATTTCTGTTTTAAGATTCAAAATTGCAAATCAGTAAATATAAATTTTATACAACAAAAATATAACTAAAGTGTAAAAATTAAATGCGAAATTTATCAGATGATAATAAATAACATAATGAAAATCTGTGAAATTTAAAGTGAATTTAAAATAAACTTTTGATAATAATCTATAAAACTTGTTTTTACATTATAGAGACAAAAATACAATTCACTTGATCACATAACGGAGATCATTATAAATTTTTCTTTTCCACTTTCTTTTTTTTTTAACAATCAATTAACGTTAATTTCATTTTTATTACAGATAACGATGTTTTTTCTGGTTCGGTGCCAATTTGTCATTGTTCTTGCGATGGCGTCAACACCTGCCCAACGAATAAATGCAATGGTTGTTAGCGGGAGTCCTAATCAGCGATTCGTTAACGAACACTCGAACCGATCCGCCACCGACCTAGAATTTCTTGATTACATAAATCCAGAAGAAAAACGTAAAACTATGATGATCAACTTTACCTCGGAAGAAATAAATCCAGCACAAAATCAACGATCGATTTCAATGACCCTGGAGAAAATGCTAATTGAGAGGGCAAACGCGTTTGATTATTGGAATAAAAAGCATCGGGAAATTACAACCAACTATATCAGAAAAAAGACTGATGATGATCGTCTTCGTTCAAGATTCTTCGTTAACCAGATTTTTGAACGCGAAGGGAATGAGAAACGACGACCCTTGACGGATTTCAACGAGAAAAGAAGAAGAATAAGAAGAAGAAGCGTCACTGAAAATAGAAAAGAGCTTCTTCACTCTACTGAAACTCTGTCCTTGAAAAAGAGAGCAACCGGAAATTCTACTCCAGAGAGTTCCAGTAGAAAGGAGACGACGGAAATACTCAATCGGAAGATTGACGTTCGATCGCACAGCACTCCTGATCTTGAAGATAAAGGTAAGTCTTGAAACATTTCTAAAGAATCCTTCTCTTTCTATCTCAAACCATTTTCTTTCAAAAGAAACGTTTTGTTACCCTCTGGAACTTATTTTCAACATTTCGATTAAGTTCGATCGATGGGAAAACAAAAAAAAAGAAAAATTCCTCCCTTTTACGAATCGCTTTGCAGAAACTTATAATTAGCAAATAAATTCTCCTAAAATTAAAATAATAAACATTTATTTCAACAGAAACTATTGGCTTAAAATCTGTAAAGGAAAACAAATTGTTATTTGATGTTGTACAGCCATTGCATCAACAAACAACAAATTCAAAGGCAATTCGCACTCAACACTTACAAACTATAAGAAATGAAGAAGGTGAAGGTCCACAAGCATTGACCCTTCATCGATTTAATTCACACCAATCTAAACATTTGCTCACTCCATTTACAAGACAGAGAAAAAGAAAATCACGTTTCTCAAGGCAACATCAGCAACAACATTCCGCTCAACTAAATGCTGCTGTTGCTTATCAAAGAGCACTCCTTCATTCCTTACAGCTTGAATCGGCTGACCATTCAACTATAATGAAAAAAAAGATTCCAATTTTTGGTCTCAATAAATTTAATTTTAATCCAATTGAAATAAATGCCAATAAAAATGAGGATGGCAAAAATTTTGATTTTTCACTTAGTGAGGGAAATTTTCGTAAAATACCAAGTGAACAGGTCGCATTTATTCCACCGAAAATTATTTATGAGACAAGAATACGACCAGCGCCATTCATGACTGATGATGCAAGGCAAAAAGAGTTTGACGATATTAACAATTTTTTTACAAGAGCTCCTAATTTGGTTGGAAGTGGATTTGATTTTATTGATTCTAATCGAGAGCAACACAATTCGATTGCAATTAAAGGTAATTATTTTATTTACCTGTCTACGGCAGCTACTGAAATTAAATTATTCGACTAAAACTGTTTTTTACTACTAAAAATTAAATTTAAAAGGATTTGTCTGAATAATACCGTCCATTACTATTTGCAATGAATTCTTAAAAAGGTGAAAACATTTATTCTTCTAATACCGTTTTTCACTACTAAAACCAAATATTGAAGAATTTAAAATATTTTGTCTGATTGTAACTATTTATTATTACTGATTTGATTTTCATGAAAGCTAAAACTGTCTTTAGCTACACAGAAAATTAAAAGGCATTAAAATAATAAGCGTTGCAGCTTATTTTAATGCCTTTTTATTTTCTGTGTACTGATCCCGAGTCGAAATTTAGACTCTCTATAAGTTCTCTAAAAACCTCCTTTTATCCTCCTTTTATTCTCTCCAACACTTTCCCTCTTTTCGACCTTGAATTTGCAAAAGTGAAAATATCTGCTATATTCGAGGCTGAAAGGAGGGTTTAAAGATGACTAGAGAGGCGTAAAAGATGGTAAAAAAACGAAAAAATAAAATTAAAAAAATGTAAAAATTGGATTTTTTTTTCTTATGGACATTATTTATTGACCCTATTGAAGATATATTTATTGGTCTTTGTCGTAATAAAACTTTTAGGAGGAGAAAAATTCAAATTAAGAAAAAATTCCAAGACCTCTTTTCAATCTCTAAACATGCAGATTTGGAAATAAGCGCATGATTTTAGGCTGAAAAGAGACTGAGAAAATCGAGGATGAAAAGAGGGAAAAATTTCGACTCGGGATAATTAATAATAATTTATACGTTTAGGGAAAAATTTAGTCTCTCCGAAAATATCTTTTTCTACTAATACAAGCTTTTTAAGAAATTCAATCTTTTGTCTGATTTAAAATTTTCTTTACTACTGATAAAATTTATAAAATAAATCGACAATTTGCCTGACTAAAACAGTCGTTTTCTACTAATATAAAATTTATACGAATTTCAAAAAGGGTTGTCTGATCAAAACTCGTCTTTTTTACTGATTTTATTACTGATTACAACTTTTTTGAAAATCTATAACAATTTGTCTGACAAAAGCAGTGTTTTACTACTAATTTCCCATTTTTATTTAACTTACATCAACCTGTGATTTAGACTGTCTTTACTGATAATAAATTTATATAAGTAGGAAACATTTAGTCCAACAGAAAATGTCTTTTTCTACAAATACAAGTTTTTTATGAAATCAAAAATTTTGTGTCTGATTAAAAATGTCTGTTACTACTGATAAATAATCTTTTAAAAAATGTAGGACAATTTGCCTGACTAAAACAATCGTTTACTACTAATATCAAAATTTATACGATTTCCCAAAAAATTGTCTGCCTAAAATTTTCTTTTACTACTGAAAACCAATTAATTATAAAGTAATATTTAGTTAATTTAAAAAAAAAGTTTAATTAATTTATAAATTAATATTTAATTAGTTTAAAAATTAAACTTTAATTAATTATTAACATTGCGATATTAATTAACTAATATTAAAATTTTTCTTATAAAAATCGGTTTTAGACACAATTCCAGTGACCGAAAAATCAAAAGATGATGAGACTTCATTTACAACTGAACCATCATCTCAAGTTTCATTACCACCTGTCGCTAACGAAATTAGCAATCATAGATATGAAGCAGCGTTGCCGATTATCAAAAGTGTTCCTTTGAATCACAAGTTTCACAATGAAAATGTAGATGAAACGAAAGGTACTCCACCTCAATTAGAGTACAGTGAACTAACGGGGGTTACATCGGAGTTTAGTCAAAAGGAAGATATACACAACTCGAACAGCAGAAACATCTATGTAAGTTGATATACAGAATACTAACTATATGAATATTTATTCTCAACATTGTATGCATTTGCATTTCATTTTAAAATTGATGAAAGAAAACTTCAAAAAAAAATAATAGAAACCAATTTCATTATTGTATATTAAAATTATACATTTGTCAATTATATTAAATTGTAATATAATATAGCATTTGTTAATTCATCAATTTTAATAAATGGTAAAATAATTTAATACACGGAAAAAAAAATCTTTACCTGAAAAAGCGATAAGTTTTATTGGAACAACGAAATGTTTCACTAAAACAGAGAAAGTTTTTGTTGTTCTAGATAAACATATAGCTGTTACAGATAAAAAAAAATTTTTCATATGGTAAATTAATTTGTAATTCATATATACTTATCTGTAGTTAATTAAATTTGTATCAACACAGAAAATTATGAAGTATTAAAATAAGCTGCAACGCTTATTATTTTAATCCATTTTTACTTATTTTAATACCAAAATGGATTAAAATAAGCAAAATTTGATTAAAATAATAAGCGTTGCAGCTTATTTTAATGCCTTTTAATTTTGACCGAATATATATATGAATAAATAAATAAATTAATTAAACTTAGAAATAATAGCGAAAGAAATGAAAATTCTGAATCATTCAGTCAAATATTTCAAAGAATTAAATTGAGCTGCCGGATCAAAGAAGGGCACATAACCCATTTGAATTACATTAGTTATTTGCCCTTCTTTGATCCGGCAGCTCAATTGTAAATGACATTTACGTGGAAATTTACAAAAATTTTTTTTTTGGAAAATTAATCTGAAAAACGATTTTCAAGCTCTTAGGTATTATGACTTATATCCATGTTATAAAAAAATTATCTTTTTATGTAAATTAAATGGATAGAGTATGTGTGTGTATGTAACGTGAAAGAGAAATACGTAATAATGGCATCGAATAACGTCATGTAACTGAGAGTACAATATATATACATACATACATATATATATAGCAGCTTTTCTCAAATCCTGGATTTGTGGTTCACCCAGATTTGCACTAGCGCCCGTGGGACGCTGGTGAAACATCAGCCACCGAAATTCCTCTGAATTCCAGAGAGAAGGGTTTCTAATACGAGTCACTGCACGATTTATACAAATTGACAGAGTCTGATGAGATTCGACTAACTTCACGTCTACAGTTATAACTTGAATCCAAACACACAAGCCGACTTAATCGCAGTTTATTTATTTTAACATTTTTTTTTTTCAAAATATATGATAATTTTAACTAATTATTATTTTATTATTATAATAATTATTTATTATACCATTTTTTCGATTTTCTTAAAACCTTTATAAATTGTAAAATTTATTTATTTTAATTATTATAATATAAAATAATTTTTATCTATTTACATTGTATATAATTATTATAATAATATTATCTACTATTATCTAAAGCATTCTGGAAATTATTAAATATTATTACATCATTTACCTTATAATTTTCATTTTTATTATATTTTCGTTATTAAAACTAAAATTAAAATCGATTGTAAATATAATTAAAATTCCCGCTTCATTTTTCATTGTTTTATTAAAATTTTTTCTAATTGAATATATATTTAATAATAAATTTTACCGATTAAATATTTTCTACACTGATTATAATTTTCATTTTTTGAAATTAAAAATTTTAAGCTAATTAAAATTTCTCTCTCAAATTATTAAAAAAATTTTTTGTGATTATTTTTTTAAAACACGATCAGAAAAGAGGAAAAAATATTTTCCAGGAAAACAATAACTTTGAAATATAAAGAATTTAAATAGTGGTTATACGCAATGCGAACTTGAAATGATGAATGAGGCAAGTTTAACAATAAATGGTTGGCTGTATATAAGAGGGATATAAAAAGAGATTCCGTTTCTCCTTATAATACATAAATATGAGAATATTTGTATTTAGTAGCTCGACATTTATAAGTGTACATAATTCATTTTGACATTTTTATCCATTTTTTTTGTGCTCATAAAAAAATAAATATCGATTTGATTTCAGCCGGCGAATGGAGGCAAGTACAATTTTGGTTATAGAGTTAGTGACCACGAGACCGGAAATGACTTTGGTCATGAGGAGCAACGGGACGGTGATTTTACCCGAGGACGATACCACGTGTTGCTTCCTGACGGAAGAATACAAAAAGTCGAGTATCACGTTAAGGATGGATATCACGCCAAAGTATCCTATCATTATGATCATTGAGATAAGATTCTTGCCCGTCAATTACAAAAAAAAAAAAATAAATCAATTTTCTTAAATCAAAAAAAAAAATTACTTACTACCGGTTTTTATTTTTCTTACAAAAAACAATGTACTCTTCCGGCAGGTAAATTTAGCACTTAAAACTTCCGAAAAAGAATCTCGATATTATTTTCTAAATCACAATAAGTATAAAAAAAAATAATTATTACCTAATTAATATTAATACAAGTAAAATATAGTTTTAATTTTCTCTTCTATTTAGATAAATACAATTATTATTGTGAAATAAAATCTCTCGCAAACGTTTTAGTTTATTTATAATTGTGAAGTGTTTCTAACTTTTACGACAAAATTATAATAAGTCTTGTATATATGTTATTTAATGCGATCATGAAACAAGACATTTTGCTCATTATATTCCACGCGTTATTTAATTACAATCTGTTTTTTTTTTATGTGTATATGTGTAGTTAAGTGAATCATGTAATCATCCCTCATTTCCATGAACATGTATACATTATATTTAGAGCGATCTGAATTTTTTTTTTTTTCCACCGTCAAATCTTCCCTCTCTGTTATAATAGTGTATTTCACATTAAAATTGTGAATAGCGCGCCAACATTGTTAACAAAGAAATGCTATCATGTCGCAATCATCAGACTCGTGAGAAAATTTTTATCTCGGTCACGATGTCTTAAAAAAAAAAATAATAATAATTGAACTCATCTTCACTGTGTATACATATATTGTTGTTTTTCGTCTATTTATGATAATCGAACCATTTCAATAATAATTTCTAATAATTGCGCGGAAGTCATCGATTTCCGAATCAATCAATCATGTAATTTTGTTTATATCCACGTCTATTATTATTATAGAGAAAGGCAAAAAGATTGTGATATTCTTATATATGACAATCTTTTTTTAAGTAATTTTTATGCCAATCTTTGGAGTAAATAATTTTTTAGCCAATTTTGAACTATTTTAAAAACGAAATTTTTATGCCAATTTTTTTAACTTTGAACTACTTTAAAAACGAAAATTTTATGCTAATGAATAATTTTTAACGACTTTAAAATTAGAATTTTTGCAATCGCTCGTAAAAAAAAGGAATTTAAATATAAAACAAAAGGGAATTTTTTTTTTTTTTTGGATGAGAATGAAAAATTTAGTCATTGTAATGGTATATGTATATATGTATAGCGATAAGTATAAAATGAAAAGGGTTTTTGATAAGAAGTATTAACGAGAATCGAGTTGAGTCAAAGTCGTGGGTGGGTGGTGATATAACTATGCAACAAAGATTAATTAAAGCTTAAACGTCTCAGTTAATTATTGTTAGTTAAGTGGATATATCACTCCTGACTAAGACGAGGGGAAACTTATCCGATTTGTAAACTGTCGACTGCCACCTGGTAAAGTTTTAATTGACCTTAACTTATAAGATGCGAATCGTGAAGCCATCTTTGGTATCCATACCCCCTCGACATTTTCATATTAATTTCTATAATTATTCCTAGACGAAATTAGTATCTAGAGAGAGAGAGAGAGAGAGAGAGAGAGAGAGAGAGAGAGAGAGAGAGAGAGAAAACGGTGGCATCTACGTCGTTTAGTTTCTAGTTTATAACTAATATGTTATAAAATAAAAAATGGCTTCTGACAAAATCAAAACTAATATATCACAAATTTAAAAAAAAAATAAAGAACTAATTAAAAGTTATTTAATAATAATTATATTTTTAAGAAGTCGATTATTATACGGGTAATAAAATAATATAAATTATAATAATTTAAAAAAAAATAGTTCATTATTGTAAAAATAAATTTTAAAGCCCTTTGTTAATTTTTAAGTATAGATTAATAAAGAATAATAATTATGTACCTGTACTAATTAAATAAAAAAAAACTTTTTTTATTAATTTACAATTTAAATGTGTAATAAAAAAAAAAAAAATTTAAACGAAACATCTTGAAATTTATTTAGAATAATTTTATGAACGATAAGAAATAGGGAAGTTGTAAAAAGTGAAAGCATTTCGTTGATGATTCAAACTCGCACTTGATGCTATTTGCTTCACACCAATCTTTTAGTGTGGAACGTGAAAAAATTAGCTCTGAGCAAGTTGGAATCTAAGATAGCATCTGAATTGAAATTTGACTCTATTTACTTGCAATTATACGCAAATTTCACAAGTCTTATATATATGGTGTATTATACATACATTTCGCAAGGAATGACCACATGGGAAGATATATAATGGCCATAAGATTTTGTAAATTTTGCGAAAATATTACAAAATACTTTCTTGAAAAATTTATTTTGATTTAAACTTTCCTTTCCTTTCCTTTTTTTTGGAGGGGAATTAAAATGTTTTAAAAAGGGGAGGATTTCAAATGATATACAAACAAGAGAATTATATGATATCATCGCATTTAAAAAAAAAATATGATGTAAAACGATAGACGTTTAGAAAGTTGAATTTAAACCAATTTTGTGATTACGTAAAAGACATTATTATTTCGTAAAATTGTGAGGGGGAAAAAAGTACTTACCATTAAGAAGAGTCGCGTCAGGATATCATCCTCTCTTAGTTATCTGTAACAAAAAAGGAAAAAAAAAAAAAAATTAATAATGTACTTGTAGAGAAGGAAAAAAAAAATTAATGGAGAAAATAATAAATTTCAGAGAAATTTATCATAAACGTATCATTGTGAATATATTATATAATAAATACAAACTAAATATAAAAAAAAACAAAAAAAAATTTATAGTATTTAAATAAGTATTCAAATGATAGAAAAATTTCTTTACTATTTTTTTAACATGAAATTTTATTATAAAAATATTGCTTTCTGTATTCAAAAACAAAAAATAAATTAGTAATTTATTAAATGTTTAATGTATTTTTATTCTTTAGTGTTAATTTAGTCTTTAGTTCTTTTTTTCTTTTTTTTCCATTAGTGTAGTAAATTAAAAAAAATTTATAAACCAAAAAAAATGAAGTTTAGAACTTTAGACACATAACAAATGATTATTATCAATCGTTTATATCTCTCAATCTTCTACGATGATTTTTTGTAAGTTCTTTTTTTTTTGAAGAAATTTTCTAAAACATGTTTTTTTTCTAAATAAGTAAGTAATTTAATTAAACTTATAAACATTAAACATGAGGAAATACTATATTTCAAGAATAATTGATAAATCGTAATCAATTTTAAAAATCCAGTTTAGTCGATTACTGTTGATTTTTAATCGATTATAATCGATTTTACCACATCGATTGCAATCGATTTTCTTATATAAATAATCGATCTATTATAATTGATTTTTACTACATAAATAATTATAATCGATTAAAATCGATTTTTATCACATGAATAATCGATTATAATCAATTTCTACCACATAATCGATCGATTAATCGATAATCGATAATTTTCATTGTCAATGCACATCCTTAAAAATAAATATATATATATGTCAATATTTTCTCAATTTCAGAATAAATTTTGCTGTTAAAAATAATTAAAAATTGAAAAAAAGAAAATAATTCAAATGAATTTAAAAAAAAAAATAAATCGTAATCTTTTTATTTTTCAAATAAATTTTCAATAAAATTGACATTGTGACACAGTGCATGTGATGTTGCGTGAACGCATTTTGCTCTTGATTCACTTCAACCCCTTTGGTGTGTATTGCATTAACTGCCGATTTCACACCCATACAAATACGAATACACTTTGGACTATGCTCTCTCTCTCTCTCACTCACTCGAGAGGCAACCGAACATAGTTTAATTAAGCCTCAATTACCTAATTAGTCCGCTCGAAAAAGGCGTGCAGAGCACAAAATTATCCCACGACGTGAGGTAATCAGCTTTCTCTGTTAGCGCGCATTTTAGATGCTCCCTCACATTATATGCCTTCTTTTCAATCCAAAAATCGCGTCAAGAATAAAACAATGGGGAATAAAGCGTAGGCTTTCCGCGTGGTGCGTATATTATATATATATATATATATATACTTATATATGTATGCCTTGGTGAATTGCAATCGTTTCGAATGTACTTACTGGCTTCCGCACCTCCCTCGCCATCCACACGATCTTCTTCATGATCCCAACCATATCTGTATAGTTCACCTACTACCAGATATTCTCACACAGGAAGTCGAGCCGCTGCGCAAGTTAACTCGCTCCTATATAAGAAACAACGAAGGTCTTGAGAATCACTACATTTCAGCCTCCGTATTCGTTCTCATATTGTATATCTATAGTGTGACACGGTCAATCATCTTCAGACAAAAAAAAAAAAAAAAAATGGATAATCTCATACAAAAGGTAAGGAACCCTTCTCTGCAAAAAAAAAAAGTACGTCTCTCCAATTTCATCCCCCAATAACTAACCATCATCCCCTGTTATATACAATTTCGCAATTTCATCCCCCCAATTTATCATCTCATCCGATTGAGGAAATCAAATTTTATTTCAAAACACAAAATTGATCTTGTTCCAATTTTCAAAATTCATCATTTTTTTTTTTTTTTTTGCTTTTATTCTTAATCATTATTTACTTACTTTATTATTTTTTTCCATTTTTTATTTTCCTAACTGAAAAAAATTATTCCCATTCGCATTGAAAATTTATTTCCATTTGATTTTCAAGTTTTTTTTTTATTTAACAAAAAAATTATTTATTTCTCAAAAATTCACAACGTACTTTTTTTTTGGAAGAGTTTCCTTTGTGGTGATAGATTGTGTATAATTACCGACCACGTAAAAATTGAGTGTATAATTGAAAAAAATAAAACTACACGTGAAAAGTGATGTATGATAAGTGAAATTTGTGATTATATAATAAATTGTGTGAATAAATTGGATAAGCATTTTAATGGGAAAAAAAAATAGTATTGAGAGAAAATAATTTTCCCAAATTCCAATTCATATTTGTGTGATCTTTGCAAAATGTCTTAGTGTGCATATTATATAAACGTCAATAGACTTTACTTCACGAGGTGAGGGGGGGGGGAAGGGTGACTTTGAGATCGCCTTTACCCTTTCGAAGCCACTTCTCTCTCCTAATTACTCGCTCTAAGGACCTTCTTCTCTGGTCTTCAAAACTTCTTCATAGTTGGAATTCTATTAGCATTTTTTTTTTTTTCATTAACTTCTGTTAAAAAAAAATTAAGGGGCGAAAAAACAAACTTCTACAATTTTGCTTTTTTTTCTAAAAAAAAACCAAGATTAGAAATCTTTTTCAAAAGAAAGTAATATGAAAGGAAATATATAATTATAAAAGTTAATTTTTAAAACTTTTTTTCCGTGATTATATATATTTATTGAAAATAATAAAACTATTTAAGAAATATTATAATAGTTTATATTTTCATATTACTTAAATTAAAAAAAAAATTTTAACAAAAAATATATATAAATTGATTCTACTATTGATAAATTGAAATGGAAACGAATAATAATTAAGAAGACAAAGCGATGTGTACTAAAAAGAGAGGTATAAAAAAAAAATCCACCGTACGTGACATAAAAATCCCTTCAAATTAGAATTACGAGAACCAGTTATCGAGAATTGAAACGAATACTGCGTTGCGTAAAGTAATTCAACATCAATCTGTTTAGAAATTTGTGTGCGTTAGCACAACCCTCAATGGCAGTTTTACACACACACACACACACATGGATATATTTCTGTAACTCACAGACAAACAGTAATGCTATTGTTTAACTACTGAAAACATTTCGAACGAAGCGGAAATTTATTCCTCAATTAAACTGACATCACCTTTATATATATACTAGATTACAAACAAAAAAAAACCTATACAACTCAAGTTGGCAGTATTTTACCACATAATTAGCACTCTCTTTGCACTGTACATTATACAAATTAATAAAAACACTTTTCAAACAATTAAAGTTTATTGAAATTTCATTATTTCAAATTTGTTAATGAATTTAAAATGAAATTTTACCAGTTTATTATGAAATAAGAAAAAAATATTCTTTTTTCTATTATAACATTTCTTTTTAAATCAAGTAATAAAAAAAAAATCGAGTATTTAATAATTAAAAATTTTCAATATTTTATATACATTTCGCAATATAATCAATGTACACGGTCCAAATATGGTTAATAATTCAAACAGTAAATTTCATTTGCATTTTCCTCTTATCATTTCAATTTCATTATTTATCTTCCGTTCGAATCTGGGATCACTTTTAATCATTTAAAAATGCAGTAAATATTTTTACTCCAATATTATTTGTTTACATTCACAATAATTATTATATGCGCACATTTTTTTTTTATAATTATTTAATCATTTTACTAATTACATAAAATTGAAAATAAATTACAAAGTCAAAAGAAAATAGTTCATGTTATATTAGTAACAGAAAATAAAAATTGTAAATTAATAAAAAAAATTAATTTTTCGTGTTCTAAAATTAATATTTTCTAATAAAAATTGTTGGATTGTAATTAAAAAATAATTTTTCAGATTATATTGTCATTGGTGGTAAATGTGGGTTTAGTTTACTGTGAACCACCCTTAAATAACCAATACGGAGTACCTGGCAACTACGCAGGAGGAGGTAATGGTCATGGAACGCTAACAAACAGTTACGGTACTCCTATTGGTGGCGGTCACGATGAGAATCAAGATTACATCGACAATCAGGTAACAGCGGTAATTAGATTCGATGTATATCAAACTCGCAATCTGTCGTGAATCCCTAATCTGTCGAGAACAATTGCACAATCTATAAATCCGAACAAACATAATTAGCTAATTAGATGTAAAATCAAAATAAAATTACATCAATATGTTGAAAATAATTTACGAAAATTGAAAATAAAAAATATTACAAAAATAAATAAAAAAAAAAAAAAAACCAAAACTATTAAAGTCAAAATTTAAAAGTCGCAAAAGAATAGAAATTTTTTGGCAATAAAATTTCCCACGTAGAAAAATTAACATTACTAACGTTACTAATATTACTAATGTTACTAACGTTAGTACCTATAAAAAAAAAATAAGAAAATGTTTCTAAATTGTATTTTTGCAGAAACTTGTCGAAAATCGACCACCAGGAAGTATTTAATGTTCTTACCCGCACTTTTTATAATTTTCATTTCTATTATCACTTCTACTTTTTTATTTTCATTACCGTTTCCACTTTCACTTTTTCTAATTCTCATTCGCACTTCCACTCTTTCTAATTCTCATTTCCACTTTCACTTCCACTTTTTTATTTTCATTACCACTTCCACTCTTTCTAATTCTCATTTTCACTTTCACTTTTTTATTTTCATTTCCACTTTTTCTAATTTTTATTCCCACTTCCCTTTCTCTAATTTTCATTCCAACTTCTACTCCCATTTTCTCCACTTCTAATTTTCATTAGCTGTTGCCATTTCGATTAAAACTTTTTCTAATTTCCATTTACACAACCATTTCCACTTTTTTTAATTACCATGGATGGAAATTAGAAAAAGTGAAAGTGATAATAAAAATTTGAAAAATTAGGAATGAAAGTGGGAGTGAAAATATAAAAAAGTTATAATGAAAATAAAAAAGTGGAAGATGAAATGGGAATGAAAATTGGAACAAGTGGAAGTGAAAGTGTGAATGAGAATTAGAAAAAGTGGAAGTGGAAATGGGAATAAAAATTAGAAAAAGTGGAAGTGAAGTGGGAATAAGAATTAGAAAGAGTAGAAGTGAGAATGGAAGTGCGAATGAGAATTAGAAAAAGTAGAAGTGGAAATGGGAATGAAAATTATAAAAAGTTTAAGTGGAAGTGAAAGTGAAAGTGGTAATGGAAAAGTTTCTGTGAAAATATATTTTAGAAACTCTTAATTTTTTTATAAGTACTAACGTTAGTAACATTAGTAATATTAGTAACATAAGTAACGTTAGTAACGTTAATTTTTTCACCTGGGTTTTGAAAATTGCATTATTTCGTCAGGTAGAAACCCCTTATAATTATGCAAATAAAAATGAATTTATCAGAGCGAGATCAGTAATATGCGAAACGTTTTGGATCTATCGTGGAAGAGTGAAGAAAGATAAGCGTAATTTCCTTTTCTTTACCTTTGCTTTTAGGAGTGCATAAGCAGCACCTAATTATTATCTCTGCATTTAATATCCATAACCATTAAAAGCACAAAATGGCAACATGAATACAGTTAACGTAACGATAATTATAATAGCAAACGATCAATAGCGAGCAAAGTTACTCCACTTTCCTTTTCAGTCACTCTAATGAGGTTTTACCCTACATACATATATATAAACTTGATATACTTGTTGAGAGTATTATCCCAAATCAACTATTTCAATAAGAATGACGAGCAAAAAGTATCTATATATATATAGAACTATATAACAAGCTGCACCTAATAACAAACTCAACTGACGTAATATCGTAAAGAGTTCTCATCTCTCCAGGATTCTGGAGCACGTCTTTTAATCAGTGGCTAAAGGTTGCAATAAAGTGTCCTGTATGTGAGATACTTTCTCCTCCGTATATGAGATCACATCCAGATATATCCAATTTTTTTTTATTATTATATATATATATACATTTTGTAAACATTGTTTAATCACAGAAAAACCATTTTGTTTCATCATATAGAGACAATTTTGTCCTTTCATTAACGAACATAATTAGGGAGTGCCTGCTAATTAGACACCTCAACAATTCATAAAATCCACTAATATTATTCTCGTTTCATTATATTTATAATTAACATTTTTTTAATCAATATTAATTTAAAAAAAAACTAATTAAAGTGAAAATTTTAATTAATGCAAAAATTCGCAAATCTGATTTCGATCTGAATGAAATAGAAAATTGACCGGGGCCACGTACGAAAAAACTTTTTGCAATTTAAAAAAAAAAATATTTTGATAATAAAATATAAAAAAAACTTTCATTTATTATATTGCAAAAATATCTCTCTTCTTTTTTTGCAGCTTCTTTTAAAACTAATGAGAGAAATAATGTATAAAGTTTCATCTAGTTTAATCTCTCTAATTATATGAACTTTTCTGTAAATATTGTCGAGAGTAGAAAACATAAAAATTTCCCGTTATACTTTTAAGGAAAAAAAAAAAAAAAAAAAAATGGGGTGGGGAAAAACAAAAGATAATCCGACATTGTTATTACGATACTGCAAATAGGACAAATCTTAGCAACCACAAACACTAGACGCGACAAACATTTATTGCCCGGTCGCGGCTAATCGTTCGGGGAATCTAAATGCTCACATTATGCAAGAATGTGCACTTGTATGCATCTCGTTTCACGAGCAAATGAGATGGGGCTAGATTTAATCGTACTCTCTAAGAGAGTGCACCCTCTTTCCTAGAACTCTGTTTCTTTGCCCTTCTTCTTCTTCTTCTTCTTCTACTACTTCTTTTTCTACTTTTTTTTAATTCTTTTTTTTTCTTTCTTTCTTTTTTTTTCCTTTTCTCTGCCAAACGATTTCCGTAATTTTTTTCTCCCAGAAAAAGGTCAGGACGTTTTATTTAATTAGCTGTCGGTACCTGGCAATCGAATCGTCAAAAGCAGAACGTATATATATATATATATATATATATATATATAATACGAACAACGCCTTGTACAAATATATATAGAGAGACGTGAATTTAAATTAAATTTTCATTAAACTCGACAACAACGAAAAAAGTGTTTCGAATTCTAGAGCATATAAAACTTCTTTTGCATTTTATATAAGAATTTTTATAATTATTATAATTTTTAAATGAAAATTGCTTTCAAAAATTTATTGCAAGCTTTTCATAAATTAAAAATAAATTTTAATTACAACGCACTTGGAAAGATTCCCCGGAAAGTAATTCCGTCGGAATTCCATCGGAGTTCCAAAGAATTTCCGATGGTATTCCGACGGAATTCTGACGGAATTCCAACGGAATTAGAACTCTAAAAATTTTGAAAAAAATTAATTGGAATTCCGTCGGTATCACATCGGTAATTCTTTGGAACTCCGATGGAATTCCGACGGAATTACTCTGGAAGTTCCGGCGGAATTCTGATAGAACCTCCACGGGGCACTTTCCGGGGAATCTTTCCAAGTGGGAATAAATTAGTTTTTTATCACTAATATATTATTTTTAAAAAAAAATCGATGCTTTTAAAGTGATTGGAAAATAAAATAAAAAGCAGGATATAAAAACAAAAAGAAAAAAATGTAATATTTTATAAACAATTTTTTCGAAAAATTTTAAGATAATTAAAATTATATATTCCATTATGTGAATGTAAATATGAGGGTTCTTTTTTAGTTTCTTTTTTTTTTTTGTCGTGGAAAATTATTTATCTCCAAATAAATCAGAAGGAACTTTTACTAAAATTAAACATTTATTTTCCTTTTTTGATTTTAAGACTAAATTTTTTTTGTTTATTTTAACTACAAGATAAAAAAAAATGAATAACCAATAAAATTTCGTTAGAATTTTTATAAAAATTAAAAAACGCCACATTGTGGATTTCCTAATTAGGGCCACATTAGGCACAGTGTTTCATTTCCTAATAGGGCAGCCTGATCCGGCCCCGATTTGGGCCCTGGCAAAATTTCTACACGGTTCTCAATATACCGTCGGACTGGCTGCGCATGATTCGAGATGGATCCTGTCAATAGTATAAAAAAAACGAATGATTCAATAGAAAACGTTAAATTAAATTCATTAGCTTCTTTTTTTGTTTTTCTTAGAAGTAGATTGCTCTTTGATTTCTGGCGAGTGATGTAATTTGTTCGAATGGCGCATTGCCTTGCGAAAGTCAAGAAATCTCTTCTTCCCGGTCCCTCGACTCTAGTCAATCACCTATCACGTATCAAAAACCGGGAACGAAGTGCATCTAAATCATTAATCCAATTAAGCTATGTAATAAGAGGGGTTTATAATAGCGTGGAAGACATTAATTTGTATCCTCCTGTTGAGATATTCAACCATGATGAGATTGCTTATAAGCGCGGTATTATTTCAAAGTCGCCAAAGCACTAAATATATCTCTTTCTCTCTTTATAACTTTCAGTTTCATATATTATCCAATTTGTTCTGTGCGTCTAATTGTTCTAGATGGACACATCCTGTTTGAAGGTGAAAAATATATGTAAGTAGGTCAAAAGAAGTAAATTCGTTACGCTATTATGGAAAATAAAAAGAAATCAAGAGAAATTAAATTAAAAAATATTATAATTAAAATTAAAAAGAAAAAGTAACGCGATTAATTTTTCGCTATGGTATTCATTTTTCGAACGTGAAGCACATCAATGTTCTTTTGGACCAATAAAAATTTTATATCCACGAGCAAGTTTTATCACCGAATACCTTATATATACACCTCTGTCTGTCGTAAAGTGGTGCAATGTAGATGCACTCTTTTCTGCAAAGAATGCTATTATCTCAGTTATATGACTCAAGAAAAAGGAGAGGCGCATATCCTATCTTTTAAGTTAATAAACAGGTGAATTTAAAGAGCCGTTTGGTCAAAAAAAAATTTATTTCATTACAAAAAAAAAAAGGTTTATTAAATCCTATTTTTGACAATTTTTTTTTTTCTTGGAAAAGAATAGAATTTTTAATAAACAATAAAAATCTTTGGTTACAGAAAGAGAAGTATTTTCTAATCAAAGATGAAAAATAGGAAATTTTTAGAATTTTATGTATACATTCATTCACCGAAAAAAATAAGTTCTTAATTTTAGAGGATTCCTCTTTTTTTGACGCATTTTTTCCTCTTATATATGAGCACTAAAGTATTCATATCTAATTGAGAGGATTTTCCTCTTCTATATTTTGAGAGGAATTATCTCAAATACAGAGATATTCATCTTGTTAAGGAATAATCTCAAATAAAGAGATATTCATACTACGTTAAGTTCAGAAATGTCAATCTTCTTTATTTAATTAGAAGAAATTATATGGGTTAGTTCATTCTTTAGAACTTGGATTTATTTATTTATAGGAAAGAAATCATTTTAGAGAACGAAACATGTCAAAAACACGATTTTCTATTTAATAAAAAATACTAAAATTTTTTAGTTTATGAAAAATACTTTTAACTTAGGTTAATTTTAAAATAAAATGAATAGTATGTAAGTGAAAAAGTTTATGAATTATTTAAATAATAATTTTTATTTACTTCCTTTCAAAAAATCGAAAAAGTAATTTATAAACATTCCTACAAATAAAAATATGGAAGAGAAAAATTCATTCTTATTTTTATTTATAGAAAAATGAATATATTTTTAAAATAATATTTATAGATTATGATGCTGAAAAAATTTAATTCTAACTGGAATATTACAAAATTCTAATCATAGAAAGAATAGGAGTTAAACACATTGACATTAATTTATTACAAAGCTGTAGTACGCAACGTTTATGATAAACGATTTTTGAAGAAAAAATTTTTTAAAATGAAAAATTCTATAATTTTTTGCCTAAAAAATATTTCTTGTAGTTTTCATTAATCAGCAAATTATAAAAAAAATATTTTTTAGGCAAAAAATTATAGAATTTTTATTTTAAAAAATTATTTCTTAAGTATTTCTTAAGTACTTCAGCTTCGTAATTTATTATAATAACATTATTGATTATAAGTAATTAATATTATTTTCAAAATTACAGATGTAATTTGTTAGTCCCACTTTACATAGAAGGTTTCTTAGTGGGATGTCGATTATTTATTTTTTAACTGTCAGTTTTCGAACAGTTTGAAGGTGTGCGTAAAAAAACAAAAAACTATATTTCTAGAGGAATAATCTCAATTATAGAAAAAAAATCTCAATTGAAAAAGAATACTTCGACGCCTCCCGTTGATAAGATGCCCGTTCATTTTTTGTCAGAATAATAAAATACCAACTCGAGCTCAGTTCAATATAAAGCTAGTTCAATTGTCAAAATAATAAAAGGCTAACTCAGTTTCCGTATAATATAATCCTATCTCGCATTAAATTCGAATTCAAGTTTTTGTAAATTAAAAAAGAAGTTTAAGTCGATCAGAATATTAATTCATACCTTTTAATGATTAATTAGTGATTAATAATTATTAATAAAATAAGAAATAGAATAAAAAACAAATAATAAAATAAATGAAAATAAAAAATATTATTAAAAAAGAAAAAAATTAATTTAGCCTTGAATTATTTATTACTAATATTATTTTTTTTATTAATTTTTTTATTTTGTTAATCATTAATTAATCATTACAAAATAATATTTTACAAAATAATATTACAAAATAATATTTTGTAATGATTAATTAATGATTAACAAAATAAAAAAATTAATAAAAACAAGAATATTAGTAATAAATAATTCAAGGCTAAATTAATTTTTTTCTTTTTTAATAATATTTTTTATTTTCATTTATTTTATTATTTGCTTTTTATTATATTTCTTATTTTATTAATAATTATTAATCACTAATTAATCATTAAAAAGTATGAATTAATATTCTGATCGACTTAAACTTCTTTTTTAATTTACAAAAACTTGAATTCTAATTTAATGCTAGATAGGATTATATTATACGGAAACTGAGTTAGCCTTTTATTATTTTGACAAATGAACGGGCATCTTATCAACGGGAGGCGTCAACTTTCAATCGAAAAAGAAAGATTAAAAGTAATCATCTAACCAAAATGTTCTTAAATAAAAAAAAAATCCTCTATTTTTTAGATGAATATTCATATATATTGAAAATAAAATGTAAAAGTAAATGTTGAAAGGAATATTTTCTTCTTATTTTAAGATTTTATTTTTTTCGGTGTTATAGTAAATCAAAAAGAATGTAAATTATTTCGTTATAAATCGAAAATTAATGAAACTTTGCCTTTGCAGCCAAAATCTTACGAGTTTGGATATGCAGTAAAGGACGTAGCAACCGGAAATGACTTCGGGCGAAGAGAGACCAGTGATGGTGAAACAGTACGAGGGGAATATAGGGTTCAACTTCCGGATGGAAGAACGCAAATAGTGACGTACAGTGCGGATTGGCGAACTGGTTTTCATGCCGATGTTCGATATGAGGGTGTTGCAACATACCCTGACCAATACAACACAAACAATAATGGCTATAATAACAACGACCCCTCTGGATACAATTTTCCTGGCAACAACATTGACGCCAGTTATAACACAGGTATCACTCCATTTTAGCTAATAGTACTCAAAAGCTCTTTTCAGTTAATGATCAATCAATTTCATAGTCAACTAAATCGCAATCTGTTTTAGACATCATTTCCCATTTTATCCATTAGAATTAACAAAAAAAAATATATATATATATTTCTTTTGTCCAATAATTGTAAATGTTCACGAGAGGGCAATTTTCCAAGTCGTCAAGAGTTGAAAATTAAGTGGATTACTATATATATATATACATATTAAGTTGTGATGTTTCTCTGCAAACAAGAACACACAAAGTTTAATGCATTGAGACAATGGAAATTTCCGGTTTTCGACTGCCTCTATTGTTGAAACTTTATCGAGTGTATGTGTGGCTTTGATACAAGATCTAGGCAACCAAAACACCTCGGGAAAGCTTGACAAGGACGAAGTGATGCATGTTTCAGGTAACAATGCGGGTTACAACAATTACCAGAACGGAGGCGGAAATTATAATGCTGGACCCAACTATAATTATCAGTACGGCTCCAACTCGGTGGACAACAATTACAACAGCTATGCCGGATATTCGAGTAATTCCTTTGGATCGGGAAGCCCGACACCTACATATGGAACACCAGCTTACCATTAAACGCGATGGGATACATATATATATATATATATATATATAATTATAATCAAAAAACTATAACTAATTTTATGAAATGGAGAAAAAAAAATTACAAAATTTTTTTAATCAATTATCTCAGTTTGTGATAATTTTTAATTCTGTTTACCATATTGCCAAAGAAGACAGAATCAATTTCCCTTTTTATCTGGGAATATTTTTTTTTATAAAATTCTTTTTATTTCAAAATGAAATTTTAAATAAAAATATTCAATTTTGTATAGAAAAATTATTGTTTATAAAGTTACCAGAAAACATACATATCCAAACAAATGCAGTCTTGTAGATAATATAAATATATTTTTATTATAAATGTAATGTAATATTTTCTGTAAGTTTAGAATGTAAGTTTTGTAACACTTGATTTAAGGCTCCTGTACATGTAATCATTAAATCATCTTTGATATATATAATTTCCTTTTTCTTCTATAAAGTTTATAGTTTTTTTTTTGTATATTATTCCTATTGTATTATTCGATAACTAACAAAAATGAATGTAACTAAACATTCTTGTAGGAATATTTTCATTTAAAAACTATAATTAGTTTTTTTTTTGTAATTCCAATTTCATTTCTCTGCTTTATATCTCTAATTTCATATATTTACCGTGTGTACTATAACTGCAATTTGATATATTACTCTATAATTCCAATTTTATATTATTTTACAACCATAAATTCTAATTTTATATTGAAATAATACACATATTTTTTATAGAACAAATAATTATATTTACTTTTTCAAAATATTATTTTGTACTATTGTTATATTTTTAGTATTATTTTTTATTTATTTATATTTTTAATGGACTTAATTTAATGTTAAATTAAATTAATTAGATATTTATAAATTATATTAATTAAATTTAATGCCTAATGTTAAATGTGAATTTTGTATAACTTTTCAACATTTCGAATTGGATATTTGAGAAGCAATCAAGAAAAGCTGCAGAACACTAAGTGCTTACGTACAAAGAAAAAAAAAAATCTGGAATAGAATTCCTCCTCCCCTCTATTTAGGAACTATTTGGATATATACATAGGTTGCAGACACACATTCAGAGAAGATAAAACACAGTGTGTATGATCTGCACTCACCGGCAGACACACCGAATCGCTACTTTCTCCAATGTACGAGAAAAAAAAAATATATTGAGTCACGTAATACCAACGTCTACGGGATGTTCCTCGCAAAACATCATACAATGATAATATCTGAGCGTGAGAATCAAGTGAATTACATACACATATATTTTATTACAAGTATATAACACAATTTTTAATTTACCGAAATATATTTCACTTTTTTTTGTATCAATTTTCTTTTTTTTTTTTTTTTTTTTTGAAAACGATTTTAAAGGACAGAAAATTTTAAATAATAACACAAGAATACACGGTTTTGGACCCGAGCAACGAAGACCCTAAAGTAAATTTTAACGCTGAATTCGAATTCACATTCCGTTTTTTTACTACACGTCAGGTTTTTGAGATAATTGCAATTTTAAATTTTTGATGCCATTAACAAAATTTTTATTGTTAATTAAACTATATTACTTATAAAAAAAAATCATAACTTTGTTCAAGGTTTCTGGGATCGCTGATTACAAATATGAATTCAGATTTTTAAAATTTAAAATGGCGGATTTAATATGGCGGACAGAAATTTAAAAATTGATCGGATTTGCTTGAAACACCTAACTTAAGGGTTTTTGAAGTCGCTGATGACGAATCTGACTTTAGATTTTTAAAATTTTAAATCGAGGATCCAATTTAATGGATGAAAAAATTAAAAATTAATTGGACTTGCTTAAAACTTGTTACTTGGGGGGTTTTTGAGATTGCTGATTACGAATTTGACATCACACTTTTAAACGAGTTTTAAGCAAATCCGATCAATTTTAAAAATTTTTTCCTCCATATTGGATCCGCCATTTTGAATTTTTGAAATCTGATGGCAAATTCGTAATCAGCGACCTCAAAAACCTCCCGAGTAACAAGTTTCAAGCAAATCCAACTAATTTTTATTTTTGTCATGCGTCCAATATTGGTCCAAAAGTTGACCCGAATTTGTAAACCTGTGATAATTACTATTTGATTTTGTATATTTTTACTAATCTTTTTGTAAAAAATAATTAAAAATTAGTAGAAATTTTTACTAATTTAAATATATATATATATATATATTTTATAATATGTGTATGTGTGGAGAAAAGCGATGAGTAATCTAAATAAATAGCAGTAAAAGCTAAACAAACGAAACTTTCAGTGAATATAAACAACTTAAGGGTAACACTTTCGGTTCAGTAAGTACAGAAGTTATACTCCCGCAGTGAAAACAATTCTCAAATAGTCGTTTCAAGAGAACAATTAAACATTTCAATTAGACGCATCAAAATTTAATTATTTCAATTAGATGCACATTGATTCAGAATTGCTTCTTTATTGTCTATAATTAAATTGCGGTCGTTTATTTTGGTATCGAATAATTAATTTCTCTCCTCTTCACATATTTCAAGTTTGATTGCCCCAAAAAGACGTATGATGGTGATAAATTGTTACCATTAAAAGATAAGATTTATTTACACTAATTTCGATACTTAAGTTTATATTAAGCTTTTTTTTTAATAAAATTCAAAAAAAAAAAAATGTCAAAGGAATATATTTAAAAAAAAAGGAGAGGGAATCTAATATAGTTAAGTCTGAAATAAGTTTCTTTGCATTTTATTTTTATTGCCGCATCTTGAGATAGAGTGACGGATGCACAGCTCGTTATTGCATTATTGCATAAATCTCATAACTTCCTAACATCATTATTTCTGGCACAAATTTAATAACTTGCTGGCACAGATAACAAGGGAGCAAGTAATCTTTAAGTCATTGAAGGTCTTCCTTGAGGAAAATTTACTTATTTTATTATTTTTTTTTTCTTTTTTTCGCTCAGATTTTATCAGTATGATGTATTCTAAGGAAGTATATTCTATAAAAATTCAGACAGAATTATAATATTTTGTGTGTCAATCTTTTAGATTGTATAAAAAATAGAAAAATAGATAGGTAAATAAATGTATCTCATAAAGAAAAATAATATATAACATTAAAATAAAATGGTAAATAAAAAAAAAAAATTCTTTTAGTGGAAAATTTAATTGCAATGAACTTTTAGATATACGAGACATATATTTAATTCACTTGATATTCATTGAGGATTATTAAAAGTTTTTATTCACGTCTCTTGGTTTTAAAGTTTGTTTTTTTTCATCCTTTTTGTATATATCAAATTAAATCTTATTTTTTAAAATCTAGTTAGGTAATGCAAACTGATTTAAAAAGAAGTACTTCCCTTCAATCTTTATAAAACTTATCTTTTGTGCGCAGTAATACTTGGCCATTTTATCAAAGAAACTTAAACTCAAAGGAACTTACGATGAAGCAGTTATTAGAAAACACAGTCGTTGCCTTCTCCACCTTTGTAAGATTTTATATATATATATATATAAATAGACTTCACTAATTAAATTCGTTGATTTTGGAAAAAAATATAGCGAAATAATTGAATTACAAATTAAAAAAATTCTTTTATAAAAAATAGGAAAAATAATTTACGAAATAACTGTTATTTTTTTTCTAATTTTTTTCATTTCTTTTTCTTTTTTTCTACTCTTATATACTTTTTTCGAATTTGTTTTGCATTTTATTAAATTTTATCAAGTTATTTTCAAACAAATTCAAAGAAAATAAATTGCAAAATTAAAGGAAGATAAAATTGAGTAATATTGTCATTAAATTGTTTGTTAATTAATCTACAATGATGAATCATATGATGTCTGTGGAAAATATAAAAATATATAAGTCGAAAAATCTTTATGAATAGTTTTAGAAATTACGTCTTTCCGAAATTTCGCAAGAGAGAGAGAGAGAGAGAGAGAGAGAGAAAGATGATTTTGCTGTTTCATTTTCGTTCAACTAAATCATCTTTTGAAGTAGAAAATCGCATTACTATGCGACCTTTATAAATGCATGAGTGAAACTAGAGCGTATTTATATCCCAAGGCATAATTACTTAATTATTGACTACATCTCTATAAATGATAACGTCTTATTGGTTAATTATGTAATTGTTCAATCAAGTCAAAATTTTCTCCCCCTATTGATATTAATTTATTTTTATTTCACCAAATACATTTGGTATTTACCAAAATTTGGTTGTTAAAATAAATTTTTGGGAGCTTTATTTTTTCTGTGTCAACAACAAAAAAGGTTTTAAAAAATTATTTTTTCTATTATAATTTTTTTTTGATTAGATAATTAAAGAAATAAATTCATTTTTTCATTGTGGGATTAAAAAAAAAAAAAAAGAAAAAAAAAAAAAAAAAGTAAAACGAAATTGTCAATTTTGTTTTATACTCGTGACCCTAACGAATTTATTTTCAATCGGCCTTTCAATAACCACAAATGGAAATTCCATATCCATCCGCACCATCATCTCTTGTATGTAGGACTACTAACTCTATGAAATATCTATTTTGTGATTAGCCACGTCTCCCCTATATATATTCCAACACCTCTCTCTGTATGTTCGATATATATATATATTATATACAATATCCCATTTGGATGTAGATGATCGATTGATTTTGCTGCTAAAGGCAAACGTTCAATATTCCGTAAGACCTACTTAAACTCTCTCGCTATAATAAACAAGGAGGGGGGAGGGGTGATTTTTTTTTCTCGCTGTGTCAGAAGAGAACATCACGAATAAATGATTTCACACTGATACGCGCGGACCCTTGCATCATAACTAAATCGTGGCCAACAATCAGAACAACGATCAATAATAAATAAATAAAAGACATATATATATATATATATATAAATATAATGTTCATATTTTAGTAAACACTTCCTTATTGCTAATTTTTTTTTTTACTCTTAAATTTTTGGAAATTGAGAATAAATTTGATTTATATCTCACGCGTTAATAAAATCTCTCTCTCTCTCTCTCTCTTTCCAGCTGCCTATCGGTTCTTATGAATAAAAGCATCGATAGTTCGTCCTCTCTGAGAACAAAGCAAACGAGATTCAACTCGGTTATCCCCTCTTTGTTATCTAAACCGTTGAAAAACCTTCAATGGATCAATGAAAGAGAGTGAGATATATATATATAAAGATGTGATTGTATGCGTGAAAATGTCAGACAGAACCTGTGTGTTGTCGGTCATAAAAAGTGATATTTTACCTCTCCACCCACTATATACAAATATCGACAAAGTCATCATAGAACTAT